TAAACATGTATATATATATATATATATATATATTCCTTACGCATAAAAAGATGTTTAGCCGGAACGTTTCTGGATTATAAGCAAAAATGCCTCAAGCATGAGCGGAAAGATGCTCCCCCAAACCAATTGTGTCAGGAAATGTTTGCGTGGTCCAGAGAGTGAGAGGGAGCCATTCCCTGTTAAACAAACAGAACGGACGTTATAGAGTCGATACATTGCGCACAGTGCGCTGCTCAATCATTCGGTGCATGATATTGAGGGGCTTGTGCAGCCGGTCGTAGTTGCCAGTGCACCGCCAAGTCACACCCCTGCAAGCGAGCGCAGCCGTGAGAAATGCAGCTCCACAAGATGACTGGACGATTCCATAAGGGAAAACGCGACGTAAGCTGTGGAGGAGGGTAAGGGCAGGCAAATACTCCTGTCTCGCAGCAACTCCGCCTACACAGCTCAGACTGCTAGCTAGACATTACTTCCCTTCGGAGAGGAAAATTGTTGCATGGGTGGATGTAACTAGTCGAAAGTATGAGTGGGGAGCAATAATAAAAACAAGAAGTCATCAATGTACACGGCAGGAAAGGTTGCTCAAGGGTACCTTTCCTTAGTGTGTTAATATCTGGCGGGTTTTCATACTTGCTGCTTCCACATAAATCAAATTTTTCTATCATTTCTTTCTCATTTTTAAAAGTATTTTTTTTTCCGTTATCTCTTATTTTTATTCCACTTGACTCGTGGATTCGGGAATCAGTGGGATACTCGACCCTGCATTTCTCAATGTAGTGTATAATACATCACAATGCGATATGCGAGAGTCAAGTCCTCCTGGCTCCAATAATAATATATATAATAATAATAAAGATAAGACCAATATTTTAAATAATATAAACGCAAAATTTACGGGAAAAATTAGTAGCAATTTCAAGTACCCCTACTGGAGCTTGAAACGAGCTAGAATGCCAATACTACGTATAGACACCACTTGGGCGAGGGTACATCATAATTTCTTCAACGCCTCCCTCTCCTTCTCCCGTCGCTGTTCGAACTTAGTGTTTGCTGAAGTATCCCTCGACGGCGTCCTTCGGGTTGGGCTTTATCGTCGTCGATCCGGGCTTCCAGTTCGCCGGGCACACCTCGCCGTGCCTCTCCACAAACTGGAAGGCCTTCACGAGGCGCAGCACCTCATCCACGCTGCGGCCGACAGGGTTGTCGTTCACGGTGAACTGACGGAGGTTGCCGTTGGGGTCGATAATGAAGACACCGCGGTAGGAGATCCCGTCGTCCTCCTTGAGCACGCCGTAGTCTGTCATGATGGACTTCGTCTTGTCAGCAAGAATCGGGAACGTGACGGGGCCGAGGCCACCCTTCTTGCGATCCGTGTTCACCCACGCAAGATGCGAGTACTCGCTGTCCATGCTGCATGCGATCACCTCGCAGCCGATCTCCTTGAACTCCTTGAAGGAGTCGGAGAACTGGCAGATCTCCGTCGGGCACACAAAGGTGAAGTCCATTGGATAGAAGAAGAGCACCACCCACTTGCCCTTGTAGGAGCTCAGGCTGACCTTCTGGAAGGTGCCATTAGGCATCAGCGCCATTTCGTTGAACCCGGGCGCGGGGTGGTTGAGCTTGGCGTTACCAATCGACATTTTAATAGATGTGATATTTTTTTGTAGCTTTTGTTAGTGAATTCGATGTTTAGGCTTTTTAATTTAATTATATTTCGAGGAAAATAGATAAATCAGAGAGGATAAAGTGACACTGTTTTTGAGGTCCAATGACAGGCAGAGGGGGCCCTTGTCGCGCTTCTCCACTAATGGATTAATTGCAAAATTATCCCCACACCGTATATAGAAACAGAAATACTTATTGCACACAAACTATATATCTATATCCATCTCAAATAAGAAAACATCGTGCAAACAATGCTTTTAGGGACCTATGATCCACACCCTCCGCATCATTTCTAGCCACTATGGGCGTTGCTGGCGCTAGTGCACGCGCCAGCGGTGAAAATGAGCGATTGGGAATAACACCATAAGGATCCTGAACCGGGTTCCAGACAAAGCTGCATTTAGATATAATCACTCCTTAACACCAGCTTTTCTCCCCTCTTTTTTTTTTGGATGGCTTACTTGAAAGCGATACTCCGAGTTCATTCACTTAGCCATAAGGCAGAGGTTAAGGTGAGCTGATAGGGGAGAGAGGTAAACGGTTTGATTGTATTACTAGTAATTATACAAGTATAATAAGGAAAGAACATTAGTATAAAGTAGACAACTCAATATGAAAATATCCTTGGCCTTCGGATACATAACACTATCAGATCGAAGGTGCATAGTTTCTTTCTGCTCGCTTGAGCATTTCCTTTTGCACATGTATGAATGCGGTAGCGGGAAAAGTTTTGCAAAGAATCTAGGCCCCCCCATGCGCGAGAGAGAGCACGGCAGCGTCTGACCAAATGCCATGCCAACAACTAGAAGTTACTATTTTGGATTACTCAATATAGTAAACCACTAATAATTCCTCTGTCTCTCCACGAGCTGGCGTGCAGTAATCAATGCGTTCTGGTTGAAGAACCGAAGCCACATAACTGAGCGCATTTGGGGTCCTCTTGAAGAATAACATAGCTGCCAGCCATAAACCCAGCCAAAAATTGCCCCCAGCCTCAGATAATCAGGCAAGCCGTGCGAGATATAAAAAAGCTCCTCATTTGAAGAGTTGGAATCGATAGTAGGGGCGTCTTGGCAGGCCAGAGAAAACGACTGCTGGGCCCGTGTGCTCCATGTCGCTCGACCCCACACGGTAAGGTGTTTTGAGAGCTCCAGAGGCGCGTTACGGTTGCTCAGAAAGATCAAATAAACATCACAGGCGCATAGCGCGGCCGGCCTCTCTGACGCTCCTTCGTCCATACGAGTATCCGCTAAAGGGGGCTCACAGCGTCGCTGGTAGAGAAAGACCCGCGCCGGGAGAGAGAGCCACGACGACGAGTTCCCAAAACAGGGTGTGAAATGGGGAATGCTAAACAACCCTCCGACCTCGACTTCAGACACCTCCTCGAGAGCCCCCCACGCGGGCAGAAGAAAGGAGCTGATCACCGGGGGAGCCCTCGCCACGTCCACCTGCGAACTCCTGCCGCCACGCAGCTCAAGCGGCGGGAGGGCGCCTTGGCTGCTTTGCAGAGCTCCACCCGCCGAGGGAGGGAAGGGCAACTTGGCGTATTGGTGGAAGGAGGTCCAGTGGTTTCGAATATGCAGTCGCGCCATGAATTCCACGTATTCGATTCGCTCCTGTGGGAGAAAAAGCGATAGAAGGTCAGAAACGGGCGGTTTCTCATCCGTCATATCCAACTTTTCCGGCTGGTCTGAAACCGAATCCGGCTCCGAGGGGGATTCTCTACGCTTTTGTGCTTTCCTTAATCGAGAAACACCCCCTCCCGTCTTTTCGGTTGTACAGAGAAAACAATACCCCTTCACAGGATTTACGGCGTACTTTTCCGTGTGTGGCTTGCCGTACCGCTGTTTCTCAGTCCTCTTCATCGACTCCACACGAGGTGCGGTTCGACTTTTTGTGGTTTGCAGCACCTCTAATGAGTTTGCCGCGTCGTTTTCAGCACCTTCCGCGATGAGTCTCCAATGCACTACCCAACCCAAACGGAGGAGTTGATGAGAGGCTTCATGGTGAATGTTATAAAGCGAAGGAATTTCGGATGAGCTACAGACATAATCGTAATCATTATCGTTATGAGTGCGATGTCCATTCGAAGAATGCATTTCTACTACCTCTACAACACCTGCGCATAATTTCATCGCAGAGGAATTAGGGTTTTTTTGCGGGAAAAGCATAAAGCAAGAAAGGAGTAGATGGGAGAGAAAATAGTGTTCTTGTTTAATTAGACGTTCCGAAACATAATCTTCGTACGCTTAATGTATTAAGACATCTTCCCTCCATGTTAATATCTACGTCTAATGCTCATTACGTAACTCCTTAGCGTTTACGTGAAATGTTTTCGAATTATCCAGCAGCTTATCTCGGTCTTATTTTTACTTAATTGTCTTCAATGATCGTCACCACACCTCTACACGCGAGATCCTGACAACATCCCTTCGATAAACGGCCTCTACTGCTACAAAAACTACGAATCTGAGCTGCTATTGCTGGTAGTTTCTTCCGCATCCAACTCATCAGCATCCATGATAATCACGGTATCACTGACGCTGTCATTGTCGCGTAGCTGCTCAGTGGACTGTTTCAGCTCATTTTCACAGGCTTCGTGAACCACATCGACTAATGGTCCGCTTGGAGATGCCGTGCATCGCGTCGACACGTGCGAAGGCGCTAAAGCCCCCAGCAAGTTTAGCATAGCCTTTGCTTCTTCTACTTGGCGGTGGTGAAGCTCGCGTTCAGTGTTTTCACTGGGTAGAAGGAGCCCGTGTTGGCTGCTCGTGAGATGTGGCTTCTCTTCAAATACACCGGCTACCACGTTCAACTCCACCAAACATGTATCCTCGCCGTCACAAGCGTGCTGTTCGGGGGTAATGCCCTCTTTGAAAGGCGAACAGCCACTCACAGAGGGCGCCGGTTCCTCCATACCGTTTGACTCCATGATTACCGGGGGGGCAAGGGCAGCGGATGCCAAGAAACTTTCAATCGCAGCCGCCTTGTTGCGAAGAGAAGACGCATTGCCCTCTTCTATGCAAGGTCTGGCCCGTAGTAAACTGGCCACGCGGGAGGCCACACTCCCGCTGAGCGATGTATCGGGGAATATAGACATTAGATTCTGTAACAAGGAACGAAGCCATACATTTAAGGAGTACAAAAATATAAACCAAAGTGGAGGTAAACAAAAGCTTGACAAATTGAGCAAATACATCACCCATCCTACCGAACATGAGCAAACATAGGAAACTCAGACGCTAAGCGAATAATGCTTTGGACATGATGAAGACAATAAAAAGGCGATAAGACCAACTTAATCTAACTCGTTGTGCAGCGAGGTTCGAACAATATGCATAGGGGGAAAAAGGACCCCTTCTCTTTTCCTCAAGGCACACACGTCGGCTCTACGTTACCGTGATCAGCTACATCATGTGTTGAACAACCTTTGCAGAGGAAGATTTGCTGCGTTGGATTCTCATGTGCGCCCAGACAATCCTGCGGCCGAGGCGCTACCACAACTTCCGGCTGGTGATAATGCCGCTCCTGTTGCTTGAATTCCCGAACGGTGCTCTGCGCTGCGGCGTCGGAGAGATGGCTGCTACAATGCGGGCACCGAAGATCGATGTATACCACATTACACTGCTTGCATTTGATTGGGCAGAAGGGTATGGGCTGAGATCCTACAGTCGCTTTCGATTCTTTCGTGGCGTCATCCATGGCGGATTGGTTGCCTCTTTCATCCCCCACCGTTTCACCATCATCGCGCGGGGACGAGGTCGGGAGGCGGGAGGTTACCCAGGAGGGCCGTGCATGATCGCAGTGAATGCAGTACGACTCAAACATGATGTTAGCGCGTCGGCAATGCAAGCATTCCCAACATTCCGCAGGGAATAGCCCCTGGACGCAAGGACGCAAGGTAAGGCATTGCGTGCAGAGGTAACGACCAACGCCTTTGTTCACGCCGGTCTCCCCACAGACCTCACAAACCCACTGTTCACGGCGATAGAAACAAAGCTCCGGAGGGTGCCCCCCGAGGCACTCATGACAGACCTCCTCTGGATGGAAGCAGGTCGCCCCGAGCAACCCGCATCGCTGATTGAGAAAGGCCTGGTACCGCTTGAGGAGCGCCGCCGCCCGGCGGGCGAGGGCGGCATGCGCGTGCAGTGGTTCTAAAAACTGAAGCAACGCGCGGAGATCCGCCTCTACCTCGGCGTGCACCGCGTGGAGGGCGGCACCTTCGGGAAGCGCACGCTCGCAGGATCCGCACCAGTCATCGAGCAAGGCTTCTAGCGTCGGAACGACCCGCTTCAGTTTGATCGTCGCGCCCATCGCCAGTGTCAAATTCGCCGCGGGAACGCTACCTTGGATCCCGTCTTTTCCTAAGACCGGGTCTGCTTTTTTCGTTACTAACATCTTTCGCAGCGCGGTAAAGGTTTGCAGCACGTATGCGGCGCCTTCCTCTTGCTGTGCGGCCGGAAGTGCGACGTAGCCGCCACAACGAGGGCACGCCGCACTACGGCAGTTCCCTGGCAGGTGGAAATCACAAAAACCGCAAAGCCTCCACGACGACGCACCCTCCGCGCTTGGAGGGTCCTCGTCGCACGGGGCCTCCAGGACCTCGTCGCTAACGTCAAGGGGGTTTGAAGGGGCATCAGGGCCGCTTGGCAGCGCGTTAGGGGTGGCTTCGATCTCAATTTCTTTCGAATCGTCGCTGATTTCCTGTGCGGGCGGTGGGGGCGCCACCTCTGAGGTGGATGCTTCCACCATAGCGAGGGCAGCGACGCCGCCCGTCTCCACGCGAGGCTCCTCACACGCCTCGACGATCGGATTCGCCTGCACGGCGGCGGGAAGGCAATCCACCTGCGGGCAACGCGGGCAGGATCGCTGAAGGGAACTCCACATCTGCTTGCAGCCGGTGCAGCGCCACACCACGCCGTCTTGAGCGGCATGCGGCATCTTAATAACCCCGCAACGAGGGCAATGCCCGACCCGATGGGCGTAGCGCGTCTCCGCGACGGAGTTCACACAGCGGCAAAAGCGCTCCCGACAAGCCTGGGCGTCCATCCGCTCCGTCGAGGACCCCCCGGTGCCGTTCCCCCCACCAGAGGGAGCTGTCCGGAGGGGTTGGAGCAGCGGTCCACAGCGCTTCCCACAGCGGAAGCACGCCAGGACCTGCCGCGCCGGGTTGTGAGCCCGACAGTGCGGGCAACCCCACGCCTTACGCGGGACCACCGCCGCGATGGTTTCCTTCGCCATGCCCACCCCACAGCTCCGACAGGAGGCCCATCGCTCGTCCTGCCCATAACCACACCGCGCGCACACCACAAACCCATTTCGAAGTGCCGAACAGACGCAGTAGTTATACCGATCGCTATTCGACCGTCCACACGCGGCGCACCGCCAGAGGTTGTACGCCAGGCCGAGGTGTGGCTGACGTTGAAGCAGCGGGGCGCTTTCGATATTCCAGACCGCGCAGAGGTGCTCCACCGTCACGACATCCCCACGATCCCGCGCGTAGCATAACGTGTAGTAGTGCGGAAAAGGCACCCCATGGGTACTCTCGTCGACGCGGTGGAAGAGCTCCTGGATCGCCAGACTGGGCGCCACCTTGAGGGAGGCTATGAGCGCCGTGCAGAGCGGCACCGCCATGCCCCGCGCCTCCACGGCCTGCTCGAGAAGTTGCAGGATCGTATCGCTGTTCGCGTCGTCGCCGATGAAGTCGACGGCGGCGCGAAGCATAGGGAGCACCAACCCCACCACCACCCGCGGGGGGGGCTCCGAGGAAAGACCCTCCACCGCGCCCGCCGGGCTCGTGGCGTTCCGATACGTCGCGCGGATCCGATCGCACAGGCCGGCGAGGACGTCTTCGATGAATCGGCCGACCACCATCCCGGCGTTGTGGAAGTTCACGATCGCGTGGTATAAGGAGCCCATATCGGACGCCGATCCCTTTTCCCCGACGAGCCTCGCCACGGAAGAAATGGCCTGGGCGACGGCCGTAGGGAGGTGAACCCATCCCTCCGGGCGGCTTTCCCCAAGCGACGTCAAGGCCTCGATCGCCTCGGATACCTTCCCGGCCTGCACGCGGGCGTACACGGAGTACGCGGTTTCCCGTGAGGGGGGGAATCGCTCCTGGAGGTGACGGACCTCGCGATCCCCCTCGAGAGCGCACAGCACGGAGGATCCATGAGCAAGACCCATTTCCACCACCGCGGATTCATCCTGGCGCTTCACAAGGGCCTCCATCGCGCTCGAGACGGTCGCGCCGTTATCGGCGAAAATATACTTAAGGTGGCACTGAACCTCATGGGGCCCCACGTACGCAGTGGCGGCCTCTCTTTGATGCGATCGAGGGAGAGGCATGGAAAGCAGCAGCGGGGGGGGTAAAAGTGCTTCGCAGTTCGCTAAAAACTTCGTGATCACTTGTGGTGTCAGGACCGGTTGATTCCGATCTTCGGACTCAAAATAGGCGTACAACGCACACAACTGGGCGTAAGGAGCACCGTATTTAAGGCATGACATGGCAAGCAGCGCCAACTCCGTTCTGGAAACCTCCATACCGTCCACGGTGGGGTCCGATGAGCCCTCGAGAGGAGCCGGAAAGCGACACATCACACATCGAAAGATCTCCCCCAGCGTGACTGCCGTTAGCCCTGCCCCTTTCCCGTTGCGGTGGGGGCCGCCGCCACCGCCATCGGACGAGTGTTTCTCCTCGTGAAGGATCTTAAGGAGCCGTTGCAGGCACATCTTAGCGAGGGAAGGGGTAACCAAAGGATGCCACCGCGTGGCGATCGACGCGGTGGTTGCGCTCCCACCACAGGAAGGTGTGGTTTCCTGGTGTGGCTCTTGTAGGGCTCGTACCATGGCCACGACGTTCGCCGGCACCGCCGCCGAGCTCTGAAGAATAGATCCCACCGCGCGCTCCAACTCCAACGCCAGCCTCTTCCCCTTCTCTCGCCGCGCCGCGCCGGGAGGGGGGAGAAGCCACGACATCGCCAACCCCACCTGCTCCCGTGAGGCCTCCGGGCTCCGGACGAGCTCGCCCACGCACCACCACAACTCCTCCCCCAATTCTTCTGGGGAATTCCCGCCCGCGAACTGGAGGAATCGCATCGCCCGCAGAAATTGCCACGTTTGAGGCTCGGAAACGAAAGGTCCCGCAGGGGGTTGACGCCGACTTCGATACTCCGAGGCTGCTGGGCTTGCCGGCCGTGCGGAGGATCCCGTCCACGAGCCCCAAACCAGCCCCCCCCCTCCACGAGCCGCACCGTTCACCTTGAATTGGTGGAGGAGCTGACCAATGTGTTCATACAACGGAACTCGTGACGCCGACGAGGAAGAGGGGGAGGACTCGGCCTGTTTCACAGATGAGGAGGTACCCGAGGCTGGTGGGGATCCCACACTGCGAAGCAGCCCCCACAGGAGACCTGGCGCGTGTGAGCCGAGCTGGAGCGCGGCCTCTCGCCAATCTTCGTGGCTCGTAGGGTTGGCTTGGATCGGCGCGTGTTGTTCCCACGTCGACGAGGGGGATGCCCGCCACCTCCAGTATCGCTGTCGTCCTTCGTTAGATTCTCGAAAGCCTACGAAGCGCGGTGATAAGCCACCTTCCCTCGAGGCGGCCTTCCTTGGCAAAGGATTTTCTTGAAAGCCATCGGCGGCATCTGGAAGATCGGCGGGATGTCGCGGAAGAGGCGGGACGCTCATAGAGCCAAAGTACACAACCGGGGTTCGTGTGTGCCCATACGTCACACGCTGTCGATAAGAGGATGAACGAAAGAAAACAGATACCGCCAAAGGCGGTGTTCGCCACCTCAGTCTAAAGTCCATAACTATTTCCTAAATCTACATATACTACTCAAGCTTAAAATAATGATCAAATTTGAACAATGTGAGTGCAAGCAGCACTGTATATAAGCTAATAGGAAGACATCAAGAAAAGAATTTTCGTTTTGCACCCTTGCTGGAATCCACGGCAGGGATCCCTCCTTATGCGGTGGGAAGAAGCCTCGAAACTCTTCCACCTCAAAGCAGTGCGATAAAAAGAAAGCTGGACTAATTACACAATGCAGTAAGCCAAACAAATCGACACCCTCCTAAATATTCCTAATATGCAGTACTCACTCGCATACATATATATAAAGCATTGTTAAAAACTACGCGTAACCTGCGTATATTGTCTGTGATCCTATCGATTCCTTCTACAAATTCACGCCTCAACTGGTCTTTTGTCCTCAGGAAGGGGGAATCCTGGTACCATATCGTGAACCACCTTATCCGAAATGAGCTTGTGCCCGTAGGCGCTCGTTAGGGTTCCCTGCTCCCAATTAGTTGGCGAGAACTCCGAGCGCATTAGCGATCGATTTGGTTCCTTTTGCATCACAGGATTCATTGGATCCTTTTCATCCCACCCACTCAGCCGCTGCGACGCTGCGAGACTCCAGTAGAATGACGAGATGTAGTACGGCATGTTAATATAACGCATGCTGGGGAAAAATTTCTTATCCTCAACGGTGTAGTCTTTGGTGAGCTCCATAAATTTTGTCTTGAGAAGCTGCATGCGATAGGTTTCGTAGGAGCGACAGATCAACCATGCCTCTTCGAACTCGTGGCAGTTGACAGTCCCCCAAGTAACCGGCTTCAAATTCTTCATGCAACGGTGGAAAGGAACCCAGCGGTGGACGCACTGATCTCGGAATACGATCGGCACCTGATTAAGCTCCATAAAATCGCGTGAGACCGTCATCGGACGGCGCTGGTGGCCGCGATCCGCCCCGAAGGGATCTAACTTATTCCAGAGCAGTGGGTTGTCGTAGGGGCCGAGATTGATCGGAGGTCTCGCGTCACCGGGCTGGCTTGACGCGAGATCACGCAAATACTCCGTCATTGATGCGAATATCTCACTTCCTTAAATGGTGAATGTATCCTTCAGGGTTTTCGTCTGGAATTCCCCAGTGTGTGTGTGTGATGCTACTACTACTGTGCTCACTACTACTATCACTACTCTTCTAATAGGGACTATCCCTTTTGAACTTTTTTTCCCTTCGCTGTAGATCTATTTATCTTGTGCAACAAGACTAGTACGACAAAAGAGTAACGACGTGAATATCAGAGTACCACACAAGAAGGCAACTTTCCTTGATATAAGATAAATGAATTACCCATGATAAAAAAAGACACTGCGGGATACTATGTTTGACACGGAGCTCCGTTTGTTTCTTCGCAATTGCTCTCCCTAAAAGATTCTCCCAGCTGCTCCAACACCATTAATTGATGGATGGTGCGCATCAATGAGATCATATAGGGAACCACAAAGGTTTTCTTTTGAGATGACATGTTTTATCCCAATACCATCCTTTGCGGAGAGAAACCCCTTTGGCACCGAACAACCATGAACCGTCCATCACGTAGTAAACTAACAATCAACCGGTCGAGACTAGTCAGTAGATTTGTGCAATTGTAGATCAAAAGAAAATTTTCAAGGCAATAGATATCGTATTTTTCTTATTGAAAAGAACCGTAGCGGGCGGCTTAGTGGTTGCGAATGCTTCATGTCCTTCTTTTTCTTTCTCCTATTGTTCATTGTGAAAGGATTCTAGGTACGTTGGACAGGCATCCTTAGAGAGGTCAATACACACTGGAGCCGGAGAAGCACCATATAAATCGCATCTGCATCCAAATGTATAATGTTGAAATAGACACGCATACATATATATATATATATATATATATATATATACATAAATATGTATGTAGGAACACCTCCTTGGTACCAGAGGATCGACAACAAGTTTGTTTTGATTGCAAAGGTGGTGACAAGGACTTGGATTTTCAAGATCCCCACCGCGGTCTAGAATGAAGCCATAAATATTAGCCGACACATTGCACTTCGCAGCCTTTATTGTGTAGGGTAGGTGTGGGGTCGCCTATTTAATCTATGCTTAATGAATTCTTCTCATGTAACCTAATAGTTAACTACACGCATTGCCAACAGGGAAGCCTATTTCAGTGGGCGGGAAAAGTATTTTGAATGTGGGGGAATAGTAATAGTATATATATGCTTATACAAAAAGATGTGTATAATAGCGAAAAGGAAACAGCACCCAGCTTTGGGTTTTAACTTAATGCAACTCTCCCCCCCTATCGAATAGAATATACAACGAATTATATACTTTTCGCTCACCACTCTGTTTTCTTCCAACTAAGTAATAAGAAAGAGAGGAACGTGGTCGCAGCTTCATTCCATAACCTCCCCTTTATGGACACCTTTCGCATCGCATTTAGAGGAATACCCACATCCAGCTGCAATAAGTTCACATAGCCATACTCTTCTTCTGTCATCTCTAAATGAATAGAAGCATATTTTAGCAGAGTAAGAATCTAGTGGAGATACTTTCTAAAAAAAAAAGGGAGGGGTGGGAGGGAGGGAGTGAAAAAGATTTCGCCCCTATTCTGTCTCCGTTCGCGGGATGTCGACACGTCTAGGTGGATGTCGGTATTCCCGAGGGTCGACCCCCGCTTCGATCTCTCGCAGCCGTGCTCTTTCACCGCGGAGGTACTCCATACGATTCCGGCTGCGAGGCTCTGGAGCGTATCGCGCGGCGCCACCGCGATCCCCCCTGACATGGTGGTCGTCGTCGTCATCGACGTAGCGCTCAAGCTCGTCAAGGAGCTCGAAGGAGTGCACGTGGTAGCCGTGGAGTTCCATCCACGCGAGAAACCGCCACACCTCCCGAAACGTGATCCCCGACGCCTCCGCCTCGCTTGATGGCAGCTCCTCGGGTGAATTTGAGGCCGCCGCCGCCCCCTGCCGCTGCCGCGGCGGCTGAGAAGGGGAGGCGGAGGAAAAGGGCAGGGGCGCTCGATGCTGCTTCGCGGCGCGGAGGAGCTGCGTGAGGAGCGCGCCCACGACGCGATTCGAAGGCCTCTCCGCCTCGGCCGCGGCCTCCTCGCGCCAGAAAATCAAAACCCCGTGGGTGCGGCGAAGCCGTCGGGTCGGGGTGCTTCCCGCCTCATCGTATCGGAGCAGCCGGACGCCGCGGAGGAGGGCCTCGAAGTGGTGCTCCCGCCACGTCCCCTCGCGGAGGGCGGCGGCGATCATATCCCGCCACTCCTGCTCCCGCGGCGTCGTGAGGACGGCGCGGAGGAAGTCCGCCGTGCATGCCCGCCGGTGCCGCTCCTCCGTGGAGACCCCGTCGAGTTCGCGGAAGACCTGGAGCGTCAAATCCTCCTCGGGGGCGTCCAAAGGGGGGTCGGATGCGGGGCTCTCCGCTGCGGAAGCGGCCGCGTGGGGGAGGAGTCCCTCGCGGCCGTCGTCTGTGGTGTAGCCCCGCCCCCCGGGAGGCGGGGAGGCGCGGGAAAGGAGGGTTGAAACGTCCACGACGGCGGGAACGAAGGCGGGCCGCCGCCGCGGAAGAAGGCGGAGGTGCGCGCAGGAGAAACCCGTGATCGCCGCCCTCGCCAGCCGTTGCGCCCGGATCATCGGCGATGACGAAGCCGCCCTTCCGGTTGAAGTATTTTGGTTGGTGAGTGGTAGTTATGTAACCTGTTGGATAGCTTGTTGAGACCAGTTTAGAATCGGTGAAAGCGCCACACCCATGTGACATTTCGCGGAAGATAAGGAAGTGATGTGTTCATTGGGGTTTCATAAATTCAGGGAGGCGTAGAAGTGTGCCTTGACAGAAGGGAATAATGGCTCTTTTTTTTTCATCCCTAGGTAAGTAGTTTGTTCATCGCTTTGTTTAAAATTTTCTAAACTCCACCATTTCCTAGTTATTAATACAAACAGTCTGTGAAGCAACACCAAGTAAAGTGATAAACAGATGCTAAACAGAGATGTAGGAATCAGAACCAGATGGAAAAAAATAAACATATAACTTAGTTGCTTATGCATGAACTTATCTATTTGATGAATGTATAGGTATGTATAGTGAGATGCAATGACAATATCCATTCCCCACAGTTATATGAAAATCGGACTTATCTGCGCTCGTCGTTAGTGATGCAAAAAGTGAATAAAAGATAAACGAGGAATTAATTAATAGAATTCATCTTTTCCTAAAAGGGTGCTGCTATCCTAGATGCATATGTATGTAAAATTACTTTCATTATAAGTTCAATAGTATATAGTAAAAAATTACGAAATGTCGGCAATCATAATGGTGTTAGTCATAAACCTGAAACTTCAATATGTCTTCAGTACACAAGCTGGTGAAACTTAATGCTAGCATAAATAGACTATGCATAACTATTAAAAAATGTAAATGTAACCATTTGATATTAATTACTTATATATGCATATATATATATATATATATGTATGTATGCATGTATGCATGCGTATTTTTTATCGTTTCATTTTTGGAGTTTAATAAAGGTATCACTTGTTGCAATCATTCTCGACTTTCCGGTGATTGTCATTTTCACGTTTATATTTTTGTTGATACTCAGAATAGGTGCGATAACCCATAACAAAGCTAGTGAAGGTTTGGGTGCACATATATACACACGCGCGTTTCATCACCACTTATAATAATTAAGTGCCTCATAGAACAAAAAATGTGCCCATAATACTCTTTTAAACAGAATCTTCAAAGGCAACAATGATAATGATATTACCAATGCAATATATCAAAGACTATATTAAATGAACTCCAAAATAATACTCTTTGTTCGAGAGCGAAATGTATAATTTTTTTTCTGCCTCAAATTTATGTAATCAGAGGCTTTGATATAATAAAAGGAGTAAAAAGTACCCAAAATAGAGCAAATCGCGGCTGCACAATCAAATTTCTTTCAAGCAAAGCACATATGGTTTGATTACACACAAAAAGGAAATAAATTGAGGATATCATGCCAATTGATTTTTAAACGGATTTAAACCATAGAATCTGACTTTTCACCCGTATTATAGTCCGTGCAATCGCATTGTATTCCTCCTCCATGATAGTAAATGATCTCATCCGAGGGGATATTGGATACAACACTATTACTCAAGTAACGGGCATGACCGTATACGATCTCCGAGGACCCTCGGCTCATCCTGCTTTTTTCATCGAATGAGGTTAAAGGGAAAAGATTATCCTGATATTCATGTCCAATATTCCTAAGATGTGGATCAGCGCTTTCATAGATATAATAGGCCATAACAGGATCATGGTACAATGCCTCAGGATAGATGCGGTGCGGTGTTATTGAGGATCTACGCCCTTCATGATGGAAAGGTTCGTTGAGAGTACGTGAGGTAAGGGGGATGTTTCTCTCGTTTTCAGACTGATGGAGGGGGCCGCCGTGGCCCCCTGTCGAGGCAATCCCCGAAGACATGGATTGCACAGCTTCTTGAGAATCTCTGGCGGGGTGTAGGTTCCTTTGCACCGGAAATTCCATCTCCAAGGGAACGCCACGCGTTATTTGCTCATCAGAATCCCTGTTTCTCAAAGCTTGTCCGTCGCGAAATTTTTTTCGCTGCATGACGATGGTGTAGCTGGCGACAACTAGCATTAGTAACATTGCCATGACTGCCAATGAGATTATTAATATAATCGAGGAGTTATCAAAACTAGAGATATTTTTGGGGTCGTCTCTTTCCATTAGCGAATTTTGCTCTACACGAGTCCACAAAATAATAATCTAAATGCCTATATAAAGGAATATAGAAAAGGGATTTAGTATGAACGAATATACATTCGATATCCCTATATATGATAAACTAAGGAAAAAAGGAAATATCGGAGGAGACACACTCCAAGACTAAATTCCTTTGTTTTCGCTTTAGAAAATAGTTTAACTGAAAAGAGGTTCAAAGGGTGAAAACAAACGGTATTTAAGTCACATCAATAACTAAAAGAAAAGAACCATATCTTGTCATCCTGTGTTTTCAAGGAGACATTGATTGGTTTATGCATGTAGATGGGTAGACTTCTTAATTGACTGTAAAAGTGTGTTGATATTTTCTGTAGCATTCATTTGTTATCCAAAAAGTACAATTCAAGATGGAAAAAACTAATGCCTCATGAGTGTGTATAGCCCTCACATATGCCTCCATTTTAATGTCTCTCACTTTAACATTAGTTAGACATCGCTGGTACGCTTTCATACATTTGATTATCTCTTTTCCACCTAATTTATACTCCTCATAGGAGTAACCACGTCCATTTTTATAACTATATAGGACAAAGAGAAATTAATGGGTTTTATTCAATCAAAGCGCTTCTCCTCTTTACCTATTTTCAAGCATGTAAGCTCATCACACTTAGTCCTAGTTTATTATTCAAAATGCGCATAGCTTACTTTATATTATTAGCATTTATTTATTCAATTCCCTGCTTGCTACTCCTCCAATTACCGCGACTCGTTAGGAATCGCCTTACATGGGGGGCGTTTTTTCCTTCTCTACTGTTGTTTGCATTCCTCCGCCTTTGGCTTCGATCCGCCTCTTCCGCGGCCGACGGCACCCGCACCGCCACCGCGGGAAAAGTTTGGAGCGGCTCCAAATCGCGAGCCACCACCCTGCTTCGGATGCGCCTCCTCTTCTTCTTCATCCTCTTCATCTTCTTCGTCCTCCTCGTCGTCATCCATGCTGCCGTACTGGCTGTGCATCATCGCCGCGACCTCCTCCACGGATTTCCCCACGTAGAAAAACGCCGCCTTCGGGACGATCTGCTCCATCAGCTCCTGCCCAGCCTCCATATCCATCTCCCACTCCTGCTCACGGTCCACACCGTCCTCGTCGTCGTCGTCGCCGTCATCATCCTCGCCTTCTTCCTTCGGGGGCGAGAAGAAGTTAAAAAACGACATGCAAGGCTCCTCGCGCTCCACGATGCGGATTTGGTTTGTCTTCTTATTCCGCTGTTTCTTCTCCTTAATAGTGACGGTGAGGTTGTTCGCCTTTGAGGTCCAGTCGATATCACAGCCCTCAATCTTCTCCACCTCCAGCTCACCTTCCTCCTCATTGAAAGACATTCGATACGTCTTGGTGAGGGTGGGATTCTTGAAGTATTCATTCGGCGCGAAACTAAACACCAGCCGCACCCCTTTGTGCGGATCCCCGTCAACGTACTCCGTCGCGATATCCATGAGGAAGGCGAGCGCCGGCCGATCGCGCTCCGTGATCATTTCTTCTACAATATCCGAATTGCACATCGCTGTGAGCCAAAAGTTCGGAATGCCGCCGTGCGCGTCGGCTGCGGAGGCCTCCATCAAATGCTTCGCCGCCTCATCGCTTGGTGCGACGACCTTGACACTCTTCCCTGTCGGGGTACTTGAGGAGGGTAACGCGGCAGCCTCTTCCCCTTCCTTGTCCTTATCTTCCTCCTCCTTTTCCTTCTTTTTGGCATCCCGCAGCTCCTCCTCGGTGATTTCACGCGCGCCCGTCACGATGGCTTGGCGTTTTGCAAAAAGTTCGTTGCGAGCCTGAACGTTCGCGATCTTCAGCTCCGCGAGCCTCTCGCGAAGCTCCTTTCGCATCGCCTTGTAATCTTCCCAGAGACCACGCAGGGCGTAGACGTCGCGCCTTTCCGAAGGCTTCATGGAGTTCATCACTTCAACGAGATCGAACTCATTCTCCTCTCCCGCCTCCTCATCTTCCTCAACGAACTGTCGCAGCCTATGCGGCTTCGTCTGGGGAACGGGATCAACATGAAAGGCCGGCGTCTTTTTTGACATCTTCAAAAACGTCTTTCGTATTTGTGTTGTTATTAATCTACTGGTGTGCTCTTGGTGGGGGGGAAAAAACGTAAATTCAACTTTAAAAAAGGTTCAAAAAATATGGAGAAGACACGCGTGGTAATATGTGAGTAAATACAGCATCACATCTCAGTGTAGACGAGGAGAATTGATTACGATCCTTGCTCAATATAGACACGCATATGTGTGTTGTTGATCGAGGTAGGTGGCAACACTTCCGATCTTGCTAGCGCATTAAAGAGGAAAAAATAAAACACATCATGACGCTAAGACTCCAGTATTTATTCCTTGGAATGAAATTGAACCGGTAGGTTATCCTTGATTTTATAGCAATGAGTATAATAGTGTATATAGTTATGCAATGCAGATATTGATAGCTTATACTTCAACTGCGTTGTCGGAGAAGACATATCATAATTAAATCTAAATAATAGATCAGCACTAATAATATCAGGATATACTGTAATAAAGAGTGTAGAAGCTAATAAAGAAATAAGACACAGCTAGTAAAAAACTAGAGAAGTATTACATATCCCCCTTATTCAGTCAGTCAGCAATTAAAATTTGCCCCCAAGTAAGAAGCATGATATATATAAGCTATGGGAAATAGTAGAGAAAATTCACGTTCATGGTTAAGTGAGATAATGAACTCACTTAACACGACTCGTATTTTTTTCCTCACTTTATTCTTTAAGATTTCCCCTTCCATCATTTAGGCCAACGCTGGCGCGGACCATTCTTCCTTTTCAGCAACGTTAATATTATTCACCCTTTTCGTCAACCCGAGGTAGGAAATACTTTAACTTCAACCCGCCTTTTGCCCGTATTCTGTCGCGTCCCCACGATCCGAGGGGTGAGGGGTGCGTCCTGTGCATTTCCGATAGGATGCGTCTCAGCCTCAATGCTAGGGCTTCTAGCCATACGAGGTTGCCCTTCCAAGCCATGCCCTGCATGTGTGGAAGCGTCTCCCTCGGGATTGGGTGGGGCGGAAAGGTAGATCGAGCTACCATACACGAGATCCGCGTCCTCATAGACGCTAGCACCATCCTCGCTAACATAAATCTTTACCTGGGAGTTATTGCCGGGGGAGGGGTCCACCCAAAGCGGCATGCCGACCACCGCGGATCCGGAACCTTCGGCGCTCCACTCTGGCATCACGGTACTGACTTCCGCAGGCATGAGGATCACCATACGCAGGTTCGTGTAGCCCCCGTCTGCCTCCTCCTCCCTCAGCTCAGACAAGGTGAGGGTCCTGGATGACTCCGATAGGCGGACGCTGATGACAAACAATCCAAAAAGAATGAAGATACACAGAAAGACTATGGAAAAGCCAATGCCGGCGAAGGATAGTAAAAGAAAAAAGATAAGCAGTCCAGCTATTAAGTTGAAGATGAGCAAGGCACTGCATTCGCATACGAATCTTTCGACTTGCATTGTGTGTGTGCGTGTGCCTTGGGCTATTGGGTTCTTTTTGCGTAAAGTATTGCAGTGAGAGAAAGGGTGATGGGGCTAAATTCTAATCTCATTTAGCTTTGATTTTTTCCAGACAAAAAAACTTTGAACATCATCCGAAAAGAGAAGGAAAATAGAATACACTGCTGTTGAACAGCATCACAAAGAATTTGTGATATTAAGGGCAATCGAGTCGTGCTGTGTTTTCATCAAAATGCATCATCTCTCTTATTAGAATGCAAATGGAGCGAGTCCAGTTATGACGATCCCCTCTCACTATTAAAACGAATATGAGATAAAGGCGTTAGTGGTTCATTTCGAAAAGATAACCATACACGTCCATAATGATCATGAGCCAAACGAAGAGAGTGCAGAAAGATAAGCGGATCTTCAAAGCCCATACTGACTAAGAAAGCTCGAAGTAGAAGAATGATAATAAAATCGTACGAAGCAGGAAGATAAAACATCGTGGGATAACTTAAACCCCATAATAATGCTTGACCGTGGTATTGATTAAACATACCGATTCGAGAATATTTTATTTTTTCGGTGTGTGTGTGGGGAGGAAATCCCACGGAAATGCGATAAATGGTGAACTCATCATGTCGGTCATTAAAAGAATGGGCCCCACCTATCTAATACGCAAGCTCCCGCGAGCCGAAACCGTTTCTACCAACGCGACCATCACCATTATTTCTTCATCCTTACATAAGGTAGAACAAGGAGCGCTTTCGCAGCACTAATAAATCAACCGCAGAGTCGAGTAATGATAACACACTATAACCTCCACACCACCGCTTCCCTTTTTAGATTTTCTACAATTGCTGTGTACATTTTTTAAGGTGGTGTTAAGGTCCACAAGACCTCAAAAGGACCCTACTATCAAAACTCTTAGCGTGAGGCCTGTACAATGGCCCTTCTGTCCTGTCTCCCACACACATTCATACACAAATTAAGATTGTGTGTTTGGACCTCTTAAACACGGCAACCAACACAACAGCCGATATGAAAAGAAAAGAGGAGAGATACCCAACTGCTTTCTATACTATAAGGGGAAATGAAAAGGGAAGTAAACACAACGTGACGTTGCACACTCACGACATTACCTGTTTGCGTGTTTCACACATGGATGCTATCAGGGTTAAGAATCCACAGGAACATAACAGAACCCTCCTTTCTTTATTCATAGCTATTTTCCGAAATCTTACAGTCTCAGATAGCGCATTCTTAAGAGTTTTATTTGTCTCCCTAATCAACGTTTTAGACAAGAAGTCATAATGATCAAGATTAAGGGCATTCATAATGTTATTGAAATCAAGGACCTAAAAAAAAAAGTTACTAGGATATATCGATCGATAGCTAATATTTTAATTCGTGGAGAAGTTACTGTAAAAACAATAACCTTACCGAAGTCTCCACCTTCATGCACTGCAGAGGAGCAAATATTTGTATACATTGTACAAAAATGAGTAAGCATTTAGTATTTCCCCTTTTAGAAAAGATGTTCCATTACGGTTACAACTGTTGTCTAAAATTTGGCACTTTAGCAAAACTTTGCGAAAAAATGAAATAAAAAATAAGACAGAAAAAAATAGTTACTTATGTGATGCTTCCTCTTGCCCTCGTTGCTAAAGCTTTTGGCGAGAGACCATAGTTAAAGAAATAACGCATAGAATTCGAAGTATCAACCACATGGCAGCCAGTGACAACCACATATACAGATCTGTTGACTGTGGATCCGTGTCGAAGCCCATAGTCACTAGCACATCCTTGCCGCTGTGAGGTTGAAAGTGGCAGAACAGCTCACCATACTTCTTCACGTTGCAGTCAATATGATCAAGACGCTTGAACTCATTGCGCATCAGAAGGATGAAGCCATGGCGAAGGAAAGAAGGCTTTTCAAGCACATACCAATACGGTCGTATTGCATCCAAACTAGCGAAGTAACCCCCTACTGCAAGTAGTGGCACAACGGTCAGCGGTGCCATGCTTATAGCAACCATTAACGATTTGAAAAAAACTGAAAGCATAAATCCAAGCGCTACACTAACTTCCTGATGTACCGCAAGAACACAAAAATAGTAAATAAAAGCTCCAGCCGAAGGGTAGAGACCAGCTAGAAAGTATATGATAACACATTCCAAAAAACAAAAAAAAACCATTGGTGGGAAGTGAGCGATCATGGTGCCAGCAAAGTAAACAAGCGGTGAGTAGGCACCGGCATTCTGTTCACGAATGAAAACTGGGCGAACCTTGGTAAAAAAGCCCATGATAACGAAAACGGACGAAAAGGCACTGTTGATGATAACCATAAATAGAAGGCCCGCACGATCTTGAAGGCTTTCGATGTCCTTACCAAGACGCAAATAGATCAAACTAACAATAATGGAAAAGAACATTTTCTGTGCAGCGACTGACAAAATAAACGCCCTATCCCGCGTTATCTCCCTGGTTCGGAGAAGAAATACCTCTCGGAGTTGGACGAACGAGGAGCTGCGAAAACTCTTAATATACAACTTCAAGAACTTCGCGGCGTTGGACTCGTTAGGGTTCTCTGCAAGCGGGATGGAGGTGGTGTGCGGGGTGTGCTTGCCGCTCGCCAGGTGTTGCTCCCACCGCTCCACAATCACGTGCGACGTCCGCTCGTCCTGCATCAGCATCATGAAGTAATCCCCCGCGGTGTAGTGCTCGGGACACCTGAAGCCGATGGATTCGAAGTAGTCAAGGGAATCCGCCATCGGGCCGTGGTAGGCGCAGCGGCCCCCCGTCAAGAGCATGAGGTCATCGAAAGACGAGAGCACCTCCGCGGTGGGCTGGTGGATGGTATAGAGGATCGTGCGGCCGGCGCGCGCGAGCTCCCGCAGCTGCCTCACCAGCTTCACGGAGGTCACCGAATCCAACCCCGAGGTCGGCTCGTCAAGCAGCAGCACTTTGGGATCGCAGACGAGCTCGACGCCGATGCTGCACCGCTTCCGCTCCCCGCCGGAAAGGCCGTTGACGAGGCCTGGGATGCCGACGATCGTATCCTTGCAGTGCGCCATCTGCAGCGTCTCGAGCATTTCCATCACCCGCTCGTGCGTCTCCACGCGGTCCGTGCCGCGTCGCGTCCGCAGGGCGAACCACATCGCGTCGTACGGGGTGCCCATCGGGGAGAGGATGTCGTCCTGCGTGACGAACCCCAACGCCTTGCGAAAGCGCCGCTCGTACTTGATATCGCCGAGCTGACGACTCCCGGAAAGCTTGATCGCCCCCCCGGACGCGAGGTGGTCGCAGATCGCGTTGAGAAAGGTCGTCTTGCCCGCGCCAGAAGAGCCCATGATCGCCAGACAGCGGCCTGGCAACGCGGTGCCTGTCAGGCCGTCCAGGATCTGGACGTCGCCCACCCGATAGCTCAGATTCCACCACGAAAGAGGCAGGCTGAAGGCGTCCGGCCCGCTGCTCATCATGTTGTGCGGCCCGGGGTTGAAGTCCACGGTGGAGTCTTTGAGGAGGCTGGGGTGGGTCAATATGCCCTGAAGGGGGGTCCCATCTTTAGTATCCTTCTGGTCGTGCAACAGCCTGCTCGAATTTTCCGCAAAGATTGCATTCCTCGGGACCTCAGAGATCATTTGTGACTATAATTGTATGGCCGTTAGGATTGAATGAAAATAAGATATCTAACAATGAATCACCACAAAAAACTCTTGTTTATTAACGAGTCCTTCTGAAACCTGTAAAATACTCAAACTTTATGGACAGTAAAGACAACTATGATCTATTAAAGAAAAATAATAGAGAATGGATTGCCTTAAAGGGTATCATTGGTTAAAAAGACACGTGTGCCATGAATGCTATAGTTGCTTATGAGTACTTCCCTTTTTTATCACCTTCTCGCCTTCTCAATACATAAAACTCTTTGCAAAACTCTTCATACAGTTAAACATCGAGCATTGACAAGCTCAGGTATCTTTATTGGATCCTAGGTTCTGGATTTTAGGGTAGAGGTTTGGACGATGCCCTGAAGGAACACTTTTCCGCGTATAAATTTATACATCGCTAAGGTTTCTAATGCCACCATGGGGCATAGGCCACATGGATGCCCTGGAGCCCATAATGCACAAGGAAGGACAGAGAAAGAGCCCAAACTCAGGCGGGAAGTGCGCTTAACGGTGGTTGAGAACCTTTTCTTGGATGTCGTACATAACTAACCATGCGAGTGTTGCTGCATGAGTAATCAAAACAAGTCTTTATAACCCTGATACATTGGTCCTCGCAGCGCCCCATGTGCTTTTCCACCCCACCTCGCTCCCCGCCAACCTCCCATTCTCAACCCCGAAGGTCAGCCCCGATCCACTCGAACGGGCATTATCAGCCTTAACAGAGAAGCTGGTGGTGTGGTGAGGGCATGAGGCCTATTAGGTGAATCGCCGCGTCGGAGGATGACCCCTTGAGATTGCCTCATCTAGAGTAGAAATCATATATCCGGAGTGAAGCCGTGATTGTTACGCAGCACACAGTGCATTCCTTAGAGGAGAGAGGAGGGGCTTCTTCTACCTATGGAGAAGAAGACAATACCTAAAGGAGAATTCAATGAACCAGAAGTATAAGAAATCATATGCATGCTTTGTTGACTACGTATTTATCTGCCTAGGGATAAGGGTGCAGCACAAGCGATCATTTTGCAAGTCCCATTTTCTCAAGATGTCGAGATGAAAAAGGATCATCTTGGATATGTGGAGGTTGCATGCACCCACAACTTAATACATGCAATTGAGGCAAGGTGTGAAAAGGTAACCGAGAATCACGTTATCTCTAGCAATGAAATTCAACACTACAGTTATAAGCAGTTTTTCACATTGACATGACGAGTGTCTTGGGGGTGTATAAAGGGCAGAAAATATTTCATTGGCTTTCCACTGATAAGCGATTACACTTCTTAGATGCAACTATCTGAGAGTAAAACAGACTAGAAAGAAGCACTTTGGCTTGGAGAAAAAACAGATGTAATAGAAAGGATTAACATCACATACAAGACGATTCATATTTACTAAAAAAAGGTTATAGAATATTTCAGTCATTTTTAGTATAGTATTTTGAGGGCATTTCCTCTCAAGAGAAAAGGAAGAAGCGAGAAGTGGTTTTAAAAGGTATCATCAACGAAGGGATGACGAGCACGCGGCAGCGTTTTGTCCCAGGAAATGAGTAAAAATGACAAGTTCTATTAAATAAAAGCAAAGACACATTAAAAAGTGGTATTTTTTTAACGTATTTATGCATATTCTATTAATAAAAATACAGAGGCGAATCTCTATCTCATATATATATATAGATAAAAAAAGTAGATGATATAGTGACAAACTAAAACTTCCCCAAACATGTAAATTTAAAATTCTAAGAGACTCAAATCTGGAATGAATAAAGTTAGAATAAGAACAAGGTAGATAATATCATTAAAACACTTAAAATAGTAAAAAATGTTTAACAGGAAGGGACAAAGATAAATACGCAGTTAAGCAGCAGGAGTAACGTAACATCCGCAGAGACACAATGCAGCAATTATTTACATACTTTCCAAATTAAAGAACTTACTTTGTTTTTCATTCACACTGGTGGGGCACACAGAAGGGGTATAACCCCTTCATGTTATCTACAACAATGGGCGCCCAACACACAGTTTACATGATTAAACTCATAACACTTTGTCCCAACTTAACTCGGAGTGTCGAGGGCTCCCATTCCGTTCATATTTAGCCCCACCCTCCAGGTGGTATTGTCATAAGATAAAAATATTTCAGAACAATACGTGTAATTCGTTCCATCCAAACCCTTCTTCACTTCCATATATTCTAAATTAACCTGCAATACCCTGCACATGGATTGAAGAGAAATCAGGATTGGACACGTTTATATTTTTTTGAAGATTG